AAAAGTGAAGACAAAGACGAAAATGGAGACAGTGAGAAATACATAAGAGTTAGGTTAACTGAAAGGGTAAGCAAATGTATTGTATTTTTAACCGACTTCCAAAAAAGGAGGAGGTTATCAGTTCGTCGGAATATTTTTTATTTTTTTTTATGTATGTTACCGCATAACTTTGCAACATTCTTGTTGCAACGGAAAGGTAGTGTCTCAGAGGTGGTCCCATACTAATTTGGTTTAGATCCGATCATTGGATCATGAAATATATAGACATATATATATTTTTTTTAAGTCGTTTTTTTTTTGCTAAAAATTACTTGTTGAAGTGAAACTTCTTTAGCGGCGATTCGTTGGTTGGGCGTAAATGGGCAATAATGCACACGGATATAGTTGTACCGGAAACAAGTGCTTCTAATATATGTGCTATTAACCAAAAACATGCTAATAAGGGGTTTCAGAATAGGACTGATATTAAGCCCAATACAGGAAGGAAAGTAAAGCTTAGTACGTACATAGACAAAGAAAAGGTTAAAGGTTAAGGTTAAAATAAAAACTAAAACAAATATGCGTAAAGAGAAAGGATAAAATAACACTTGAAACACTATAAGGTAAAGGTGAAGGGGAATATGCAAAAATAAAGATAAATATGAAGAAAAATATTAGGATCAAGATTGATATTGCTATCGATATAATAATCGATATTGTTATCGATATAATAATGGATACTTCTATCAATAGAACCGATATTGTTATCGATAAAATAATCGATATTGTTATCGGTGTAATAATCTATATTGTTGTCGATAATGTTATCGATATATTTAACAATAAATAAAACGATTTTGGAATCGTTATATTTCGCGATATATTTATTGATATTTTTATTGGTATATTTATCGACAAAGTTATCGACCGCGTTATCGATTTCATATTCGACGAATGACACGTGATCACATTATATGATATCACATCACATCATATGATATGATATGGCATCACATAATATAATATCACATAATACGATATCACATGGCATGACATCACATGATATGACATCATATGGTATGACAGGACTTCACATGATATAACATCATATAACATGACATCACATGATTCGACATCAAATTTGTTTCTGTATCGATTAACATGGTTACTGAAAGCATACGCATTGTTTTCTTTCAAAATTAAATTGTAAAAAACTAATAACTAGCTATGGCTCTGATATTTCAGGCCCCTTAAAAAGCCCGGGCCAGTGAAGGATTCCCCCATTCTTACCCCCTCGACGGGTCTGGGTAGGGATAAAGATAGAAAAAAGATAAAATATAACTTTGAGCTTATACAATTATATTAACTACCCTGTCGTTTTATTCACAATTTCTAAATAAGTAACGTAAGTTCCACTTCTTCAATGTGGCCCAGGTGCCCTTATTTTTTCGATAGGAACTGAAATAAATTCTGCTATAAAAAATGTAGTTATCGAAAATTATCAAGCTACCGAAGTTTATCGAGTCATCGAAGTTTATAGTTATCGAAATTTATCGAGTTATCCATATTTATTGAGTTATAACAACGTGTAAAATTATTGAAATTGACCAACGTTAATTGAGTTGTCGAAATTTATAGACACAGAAAATTAGGTGTCGAAATTTGCAGATAGATATTGAGCTATAATAATGTATGGGTTAACGAAATTTGTCAAGTTAATGAAATTTTGTGATTTTAGTGTTCTTGAAATTCATTGAATTATCGATATATATCAAATTATCGAACTTTATCGACAAACTAGAATGTATCGGTTATATTCCAAGTCCTTCCAACCACCTTCAAAGATATAAAAAATTTAAGTTAAGGTTTAGTTCGAAAGCAAAAGATTTTCCGGCAAGTAATTTTGTACATTATAAGTTAAACGACGGACTAAGTTCGAAAACCTCTCCAAGGGCCTATATATTAATACGCTAACATAAATTTTGTCTCCGTTCGTTTAGTGACTCTAACGAACCGATTTCCAAACCAAGAACACGATTGGAAAGGCATTTTTCTGTAGATGAGCAGAGGTTTTACGGTTTCAAAATTGGTTGAAAATTACGGCCTAAACCGTCGTTTGAACATTTTCGTATTTGTGTATAGGTGTTGCTGCAACATGTTCAATTTGACATGTTTCGCATGTTGTTTCACTTCGCATTTGAAATTAAGCTTAGGGCCGGTTACTCAATATCTAGTTAACACTAATCTGAGGTTAAACATCGTTATCGACGTCTTCGACCCCATGCATACAACAGGGATTCATAACGTCGATAACTATGTTTAACCTCCGATTAGTGTTAACCAGACATTGAGTAACCGGCCCTTAGAAATAAAGATAAATATGAAGATGAAGAAATAAATGATAACGATGAAGTCAAAAAAAGAAGACAAAAGTGAAGATAAAGACGAAAATGGAGACAGTGACAGATACATAAGAATTAGGGTAACTGAAAGGGTAAAAACATTTCTTGAATTTATGAAGTGAAACTTCTTTAGCGGCAGTTGGTTGGTTGGGAGTAAATTGCCAAATTCAAGAGGAATAATGCACATGGAAATGGTTCTCAGCGGTTTAGCGGTTTGAGAATAAAAACAAAAACAAAGATGCCTACAGATACAGGCAAAAACGAAGATCAAGGTAAATTTAAACACTTTAAGGTAAAGGTGAAGAGGACTATGCAGAAATAAAGATAAATATGAAGAAAAGGATGAGGATGAAGATCGATATTGTTATCGATATAAAACTCGATATTTTTATCGATATTGCTATCGATAAAATAATCGATATTGTTATCGATACTGTTATTGATTAAATAACCGCTATTGTGATCAATATAATAATCGATATAGTTATCGATACAATAATGGATATTGTTATCGGTATAATAATCGATTAAATAATTGATTTTTTTATCGATTTAGTAATTTATATTGTTATCGATATGTACAATAATCGATACTGATGATTGTTATATCTATCGATTAATTAATCGATTTTGCAATCGTTGTATTTTTTCTATATGTTTATGGATATTGTTATCGGTATTTTTATTGAAACAGTTATCGACAGGGTTACCGATTTAATAATCGGAACATGGAATGGGTTCACATTACATGACATCACATCACATTATATGATGAGACATCACATTATATTACATCACATAATATGATATCACATCACACGATATCACGTGACATAACATCATATGATATGACATCACATTATATAGCATGACATCACATGACCTGACATCACACGATATGACATCGTATGGCATGACATCGCATTACATAACGTGGAGACAATGAGAAATAAATAAGAATTAGGATAACTGAGTTGAAATTTTCCATAAAAGTTACCGAATTTTATCGAATCATCGAAGTTTATAATTATCGAAATTTATCCATACTTATTCAGTTATCACAACGTATCCAATTATTCAAATTGATCAATGTTTATTGAGTTGTCGAAATTTATAGACATAGAAACTTAGTTGTCGAAATTTATGGAGGGCTATCGAGCTGTAAAGACATGTGGGATTATCGAAATTGGTCAAATTAAAGAAATGTATCAAGTTATCGATATTTATTGAATTATCATTATTTAAAGACTTAACGAAATTTATCGAGTTGTAGTAATGCATGGAGTTCTTTCAACTTACAGAGTTATCGATAATTATTGATCTACTTAAATTGGTTGATCCATGGAATCGAAGTCCTGGAATTTTCAAAAGATATCCATTAATCGAAATTTCAAGATTATATAAGCTTATCGATTTATCACTGCTTATCGAATTTTATCGTGCTAACAGAGTGTAATGAGTTTTAAAAATTTTTCGATAGCTTTCGAAAAATGTGGAGCTGTCAAAAGTAAAAATTTTTAAAGGTATCTAAAGAATTTACATTTTTGAGTTATCAAAATTTATCGACCCCTCGAATTTCACAGTTATTGAAATTGGTCGAGTTAACGAATTTTGTTGAGTTATCGGATTTTAGTGTTTTTGAAATTCATCGAGCTATCGATATGTATCAAATCATTAATATTTATCGATAAAAAGGAATGTATCGGGTCAATTCTAAGTCCTGCTGAAGTCCAAAGACCTTCTAAGATAAAAAAAAAATTTTAGTTTCGTTTTAGTTCCAAAGCAGAAGATGTTCCGGTAAGTTAATTTGTACCGAATAAGTTTTGCTCTGTATTAAGTTAGAAACCCTCTCTAAGGCTCCTAAAAACTAGAAAAACTGTCGAATTTCGACAGTAACTGGCACTCTAGTATTGTTTAATTTCAGCAAAGGAGCTGCTAAATGCATTATTTTTGGATCGTGAGGTCGATGGCTTATGATAAGAAGCCCCATTTGGAGAGTCTATTAAAGACTTTACCTCGTTTTCTTCGTCCTCCTCATTGACTTCTCCTGCTTGCAACTATAATCATTATTTATTAGTAGAAACTACCTTTTGATAAACATATCGATGGTTCTCTGCAATAAAGACCCAATTCATAACCAAAAAAACCTTACTACTGAACAACAACAAATTCCCCTAATCCTTGTGTAATCCATGTCTTATCCTCACTAAATCTTTATGACTCATTTATAAATATCTAGGAAGGATTAGACGAGGATTAGAGACATGTGCCGCTTAACAGTAGTAAGTTTTTTTTTTAGTTTTGAGTTATGTCGTCTTGCAGAGGACCATCGACACAAGCATATTACTTCTGAAAAGCCAGCTTGTTTGTTCAGCCATCTCCTTCCACCATTGCGGACGTGAAGAACTGTAGAATTTCAGAGTCAATTTCTTCCAGCGGTGCAGGTCCTTCGCTCGCAGGCAAATTGCCGGTTCGGTTTAGAAACCTTTTAATTTCTGCCTGCTGTTTTTTTACTGCGCACTTCCAGTCGGCCCAACTCTACAAAAAATATATATTATGGCTTCATCATACCTGTTTTAAAAAGCACTCATAGATATACCTTTTTCCACTGCTTGGCTGTTTTGCAAGCTCCTCCAGCTGCGTTCAGCTCCACAGCAACGGCTTCCCACACATTGCGGCTGTGCGAGGCGCTATTTGGACCGCCAAAATTTCCCATTGCCACCTTCTTGTTGTTTTTCATTAAATCCATAAGTTTTACTTTCTGAATTTTTGTAATTTTCCCACTTCTAGTGTTTTCTGCAAGATGAAATTAATAAAATAAAGAAACTTAAGATATTTATAAGCACACACTTCACTCATTTTGCTTTTTGCGCCAAATATCACTACACTTAGAGCTACCGATATAAATATCGCAAGGTATATCGAAATTTCATTTACACCACACTTACAGAAACACTACTTGCGATAACTATGCAGAAGGGTTGCATTTTGCGATATAATTCATATCGCAAAGATACAGAAACGGGCTACTGATCCAGTACTCCATGAACTTACAGGATTTTACACGAACTTGCACGAAGTTGCAGGAAAAATGTTCCCGTACTCCAACATCCTCCAAAATCCTGTACATGAGAGCGACCTTTGGAGAGTTGTGTAGAGAATGAAGTTGCAAAATTTTACCCGAACTTTTTCTTCTGGTAAAATCATGAAAAGTGTCAAGCAATCACTGGTTGACGTTTTTACAGGAAAAATGGTTTTTTTTGTTCCCGTACTTTTTGTTGTTACTCACTTTTTACTCTCACTTCAGAGAGTAATTTTGCTACTTGACAGTTTTACAGGATTTTTCACGAAAAGTATTGGATCAGAGCTAATAGCTGTAAAAGCGTAAACCAGTGATTGCTTGACACTTTTCATGATTTTACCAGAAGAAAAAGTTCGGGTAAAATCTTGCAACTTCATTCTTTACACAACTCTCCAAAAGTCTCTCTCATTTACAGGATTTTAGACTACGGAAACATTTTTCCTGCAACTTCCTCCTAGTTCGTGTAAAATCCTGTAAGTTCATGGAGTACTGGATCAGAGCTAATAGCCAATATCCAATACTTTTCGTTGAAAATCCTGTAAAACTGTCAAACAGCAAAATTACTCTCTGAAGTCAGAGTAAAAAGTGAGTAACAACAAAAAGTACGGGAACAAAAAAAAAACATTTTTCCTGTAAAAACGTCAACCAGTGATTGCTTGACACTTTTCATGATTTTACCCGAAGAAAAAGTTCGGGTAAAATCTTGCAACTTCATTCTCTACACAACTCTCCAAAGGTCGCTCTCATTTACAGGATTTTGTAGTACGGGAAAATTTTTCGTGCAACTTCCTGCAAGTTCGTGTAAAATCCTGTACTGTACTGTACTGGATCAGGGCTAATGCTGATTTACTTAGGACTTACACCTAGAAGTGTCAAACTATCGATGGTACTATCGATAGTATCGATAGTTTGATTTGTTTGCCCCTATCGATGACCCTGCCAGCCATGGTTCACCACTTTCCCCTAAAATTCAAACGATTTACAAACACATTCACAACTTTTTAGTCATCTCACCCACACACTTACAAATTTTTTGTTCGAACTGTCAAAAAATGTCCCTTTGTTAGAGCTACATACCCGATAAGAATTCGTACTCTAACAAGAATTCTATGCGTTAGAGCGAGCAAGTTAGAAACATCAGAGTTTTGATGACAGTATACATACTGTGAAGAAATGTCACTACGAAAATTTTGAAGGTAAGAATACGTATTTAACAATTTTATTTAATTATAATGTAATTTCTTCTTTTAGATTGCAAAACAGCAGCGACTTAGTCACATTCTTAGGGTATGTATTGAGACTTTTTATATGTTTATAAATTTTAATTTATATTTTTGCTTGTTTACAGATTCACAATCAGCACCTTCAACGCTTGCATCTTCATCGCCAGGAGCACCATTAGAACCTTCTGCCCTCAGCTTCTTCATCGGCAGGAGCACCACCAGTACCTTCTACCCTCAGCTCCTTCATCGCCAGGAGCACCATGAGTACCTTCCGCCCTCAGCACCTTCAACGCCAGGAGCACCTTCAAAGTGTAGGTCCAACTTGTCAAATTTTGCAACGTTGTAAGAAAACTTAATTTTTCTGAACCACCATAAATGATTTGCAACTGTTAATATATATCAAAAGAAAGGTAAACCTTTCTTTTGATTATAATATTGTAAAAATCGCTTAACTTTTTTATAGAAATTTTGCAACTTTTGAAACCGTCTATATATAGTAAGTCGAAAAAACGCAATCAAATTTTGCAAAGTTGTAATGAAACAGAATTTTTGTGAACCATTATAAATGATTTGCAACTTTTAATATATATCAAAAGAAAGATAAATCGATTACCAGCGCATATGTATGTATGTAAAAATATATTTATTAATGTTAATTACAAGTTAAATTCATAATATTGGTTATTAAGTATGTATATTATGCATTTTGAAAATAAATTTTGCAAAATAAAAATCAAAACATTTTAGGATTATTTATTTAAAGTTTCTAAGGTTATTTTGAATTCGCTGTGAAGAGAATGCAACCCTGAGCCGGCAGAAGGGGGCAACGCTAGACGAGTGCAGCTATATGTTTTCCTTACGAAGTATCTGAATGAGTGCGACAGTGATGCAAGGCTCACACGTACAGGGGGAAAGTGGTGACAATCTGCACACCGCCCATACAAATGTCACCAGTTTTGTCACCAGTTTTGAAGTGACCGAAACCCGCGGTTTCACCAGATTTTTCACCACTTTTTGCTGGCAGGGGAGTAGTGATAGTTTTTCCTCAAAAGAGGTTAAACTATCGATAGTACTAGTTGACTATCGATAGTTTAAAACCTCTAGCACAAGCAACCTTTAATTGAAAAGCTCCCTTTATATTTAAACGTTGCTTCAAACCATAAGGCCATGTCTGAAGTAAATCATTTCTATTATCGGTGTTTGACGATTGTATGTTTCTTGGCTGTAAACAAATCAAAAAATTATATAACGAAATTTAAACAAAATGTATCATATTTGAAAATTTATAATAAGCGACAATTAAACAAGGCAACAGTGATTTTCTTGCGGCAAATGGTAAAGCTGTTTTTGATAGACTTTTTTATGCTGATTACGAGTCCGTAAGCTTAAAGTTTCCATCAGCTCCAGATTTTGAGAAAAAACGAGGTCAAAGTGTCAAAAGATCGCGTTTTTTGCAATATTTTAGAAGGTCCAGCACAAAAAACAAAAGGTGATAGAACCTTTAACTGGGGCTTAAATTAAAGCTTTAACTCTCTGCTACTATCCCTACACCTTGACCTGATGGTCACAATATAAAAAGACTGGAATACTTACATCGGCGTCGTAAGTGTCGTATTGTTGTATGTAATAAACTTTAAACGCCTAAAGATATATTAAGGGGTTTCCCAAAATACCGTCAAAGTAATATTATGAATTTTCGCAGTGTTAAAAAATTGATGGTTGTGCTTTCAAGTTCTCTAGACATTGGCTGCATTTCTTTATTCATTCTGAACGTTTGGAATAAACTTTTTAGTTTACTTATTCCTTAGAACGTTCCTGATTATATGTTGACGTATATTTCAAACGCATTCTGTTTATTCCGGCTGTGAAATGGGATTATCCGGAATGTATAAAGAAACGTAGCCATTTATTTAAGCTAAAATAAATAAGTTTTGCCAAAATCAGTTTTTGATGTTAAATACATAGCTATAAGTGACCCTAAACGATGTTTCCACGCCAAGTGATTCGCTCTCCCATTCGTAATTCGCTCTCTTATTCGTGATTGGCGCCCCAATTACGAACCGAATCACGGTTTTCTGCACATTGGTCGTCCAATCATAGTTGCTTCATCTTCACAATCATGATGCAACGATTACATGACGACTACACTTTCGCACACTCGGTCGTGATATTCATTTGGCGTATAAAAATTCTCTTGGAGCAGGTATTTTCTACCTGCAATTTTTGAAATATAGACTATGCTGCAACAATTCTAGACATCATTTTTTCCTGAAATGTGTTTTGTGCATGCAAACAGAGGCTTTTTAAAATTTCGTCATGTTTTATAGTTAAAACGTTCACTTTTATTGAATTTTAATGCAATTATACACTTTTTAATAATTTCCACAGATTCTATGCAAAAAATACTAATTTTTATGCAAATATTAACTTCTTCAGTCATTTTTCCCTATAAAATGTAAACAAACAATGCGTGCACAACGATTAGCAAACGACAGTGCCGTACTTATCCGTTTCTGCATCTTCTACGATTTGGCGATAACTAGCCGATGACGACAAGCGTGCAGATCTCCTTTGAAATGCATGTGCTCGGCTCAAAATTTCAGGGCGAGACGATAACGCAACTATGATTGGACGACAAGTGTGCAGATAGCCTAATTCGCCATACAAAATTTTAAGAGCGAATAACTTCATTAGTGGGTGATTCAGATCCAATCAACATGCGAATCAAGAACAAATCGTTGTCTTTTCTAATTTTTATCGATAACGGCTGTCAAAACACATAGACCACACACATCCCCACCAGCACAAACATTAGGGGCAATCCTGTATTCCTCGGACTCGGACTAGTAAAACTGTCAAAAAATAAAAATTCGCTCAGAGAGTAAATTGAAAAGTACGGGATCGCTTTCTGGTGAAAATGGTAACTTCTGTCAACTTCAACATAACCTCCAAATTTTCGTTGTAAATTGTTGCTTATTTTGTATGTAAACACACTCAGCTCACACATGTAAATAACCAAAAATACCTTCAAATTCATTAGAATCCACTTAAACATATAATTAAATACTTTTCAACATAAATTAGCAGAGTGCACTTTTCATTTGTTTACAATTTGGTTGCCAAACATATTACAGCTGATCGTTTGACACATTTACCAGCAAAAAATTCTCGGACTAAAACTGGTAACTTCTGACAGAGGGAGAACCATATTTACTCTCTTTTTTGTCCTCTCAATAGTCAGAGAACCGAGTACGGGATCGGTTTCCAGTAAAATCTGACTGATTCTGACTATTTCTGACTAGTCCGGACTCGTACGGGACCGCAACTATTGAAAAAATTGCTAGATTCCTTAAAACTATTGATTTGGCCAACTAAACACTGCTAATTTTTTCTCCACCATTGAAATGGACAATAAACAGCACATTAAACATTAAACAAAAGCAAAGAGCAAGAAGCAGAGATGCAAAGTGAATCACGAATGTGGCGTGTAAACAGGTTGATTCGCCGTTAATTATTGAGAGAGCGAACCATGATTCGGTGGCAGTGGGAACGCCGTTTTAGGAATGGTATTTTAAGCGTTTGTAGTCGAAAGTTCAAGCCTT